TCATCCGCAAAGAAACTTGTCATCCAAAAAATTGAAAACTTATGAAGACAGGCATGTGCGTCGAATCTTAGGTCAGCTTTAGGCAGGAATGAATGACTCTGGCAGCGCGTCTTATCAAGTCAAAACCAAGGCAACCAACTACCTTGTCGGTTGCATCAATGTTATTGCCAGTAGCCAACTCCTTGTTTGCGGTTGTATGATTATTTTGTGGAATTCGACCCGGGGTGGTCGGATTTTGTGGTCGAGTTTTATTTCGATCTTGTATTATTGAACATATCAACCGATGACTTGAATTCTTTCGATATCATTTCAGATTGGATTTATTTCTTTCGGCTACGATCGATCCTTTTGATATAATAATGTGTGGTTGTTATAATTTTCTTTTGACGGTGTGTCTAAGGGACTAGGATTAATGTTGAGTTTCACGCTTGGTTGAGACCGTCCTAGTCGACCAACGCCTGCTCCGTACCTAGGAGATCAGCGCCCTAGGAGCGGACGACGTTCGGGTCCACTTGACGTTAACCAAGCATATCTATACTACAGTGAACGAGCAAACGCCCTCGGACGACCTACCTCTGCAATTGCATCTAAAAACTTTCGCATGTGGGTCAGTAGCTCGGTAGGGATACGCCCCTAAGGGTGGTGACAACCCTTTAGGGAAGGAAAGTTTATGCCCCGCGGAAACCTAGTATCTTGCCGTAGGGGACCGCGGGATGTACAGCTGGCGCACCCGGCCTAAGCGGCGAAGGGACGATGCAACCGCGGTCGTCTCGGCGGCTCGCGGGATTAGTTAGGTGTCGTTCCAGAGTCGTCTCTTGATTTTATTTTGTTAAACTCCTGCGTGATATGGCCGGAAGGGCTCTCGCCTTTGCAAAAAAGGCAGGAGCCGATGCACTCGACACCGGATACCCAGATCACAACATTAACAATCCAATGAATTAGGAGATTGCTTTTCACCCATGATATACCCTGACACTGGAACAGATAACCAGACTTGCCCCACAAACACCACATGGAGTTAACCCATTGACCTGGTTGGATCGCTTTTGGAATGTGCCATGGTGCCCCCGAATAGAGCGAGACTCACTCCGAGACACAACTTTGCTCGGACTTGGCCAAAGACGACTTCTGGGCGCGGGGCCGGAGGGCCTGGCGCCAACTCTCGTTGCTTGATCAATCCCCACCGACTAGGTGGGAGGAGGTGATGCGTCAGCCCCTTTTTGGGAACAGAAGGATTACAGACCAGTGTAGCAGGGTGTATCGTAGCTCAGACACCCCATGGAACATCTGGGTAAAAAATATGGGACATAGCAGAGAGGGACTGGAAAACGGTGCCACAACTGAAAACCATACTAAAGCACCGCCACAAGGTTGAGGAGAACATCGATCTGCTAATCTCTGCTATCCCCCTTGATTGGGTGCACATCCTGCGCAGAGGGTCGTAGCTAATAGAAGGGGACTAGGTAGCTGCCTCGGGGGATCCGGAAAGTGTAGGCAATATGGTGGAGGTACGAACAGACGAAACGTTGGTTAACCTCTTCCACAAAGGCAAGGAAAATAAGCTCACCCGGTAGTTCTCAAAAGTGACGAGATGGTGGAGAAATGCGGACCTGCATAGCATACGCGTGCTGCGGGATAAAGATGTTCGGCCGCATATCAGCCAAACCCCCCCCTGATGGAGCTACTCTTTGACCCCGACGAATGGCACTGGGTCCCTATGCAAAAAACCGGGTCGGGGGATAATTTAAAATTGCACACTCTAACGGTGAAGGCCACATACCGCCTGCTGCGACCAAAGGTGAACATAAAAGAAACAGTGAAGGCCCGATTCCGGTCTCATTTGAATGTAGGGATTGAAGGCAATATGCCTGATCTGATGGTTCACTGCCACAAGATCTAGGCCAGCGAAGATAGATCACCGCTGCCTGCCCACCAACGACTGGTTGATAGATTGTACATATCTGGAGCAGAAGGGGCGGGCATTACCGTGGTGTAAAGCATGTCACACCTGAGTGAGGACGCCGCCCGGACAGTTGGGCCCGGGGCGGCCGCCCGGGTAAACTGGGCGGGCCAAAAAACCACCCAGATTTTTTTTATTTTGTTTTTGAAACCGGGGTCGTTCTGCGCCCGGCGAGAGAACCCCGAATCTGCAATAAAATTTTGGTTTTGGAGGGGGGTTGGGGGGGCTGTCTCTTATACACATCTAGATGTGTATAAGAGACAGCTACAAGAGTT